GGAGTCTCACTCTGTTGCCCAGACTAGAGTGCAGTGGCTGCTCCTGGCCACTGCAGCCTCAACCTGCTGGGCTCTGGAGATCCTTCCGCCTCAGCCTTCCAAGTAGCCGGAATTACAGGCATGCGCTACCACGCCCGGCTGATTTTTTTATTTATTGTAGAGATGAGGTCTCGCTGCCCAGGTGGGTCTTGAACCTGTGGGCTAAGGCAATCCACTCACCTCAGCCTCTCAAAGGTGTGGGATTACAGGCTGAGCCACCGAGCCCGGCTTATTAAACATTTTAAAAGATGGAAAAAGACACTACTTGATGATAAAAAAGTTCAATCTATCAACAAGAAATATCCATTCTAAGCATATATGCACCCAGAGATTTGAGATATCCCAATAACAGCTCTAGATAGTTCATCAAGGCAAAAAATCAAGAAGGAAATCCAGAATCTAAACTTGAAACTCAATCAAATGGACTTAATAGATACCTACAGATTATTCCACCCAACAACCACAGAATATATATTCTATTCATCACCACTTGGAACATACTCCAAGATCAATCACAACCTTGGCCATAAATCCAGCATAAACAAATTCAATAAGGTTGGAACCTTCCATGCACAATCTCAGACCACAGTGGAATAAAAATAAATATCAACATCAACAATATTTCCCCAAAGCCCACAAAGACATGGACACTAAACAGCATGATGCTGAACAACTACTGGGCCAACACTGAAATAAAAGCAGAAATTAAAAGAATCCTGGAAACAAATGAAAATGAAGAAATATCTTACCAAAACCTCTGGGATGCCATGAAAACAGTTCTAAGAGGAGAATTTATATCTCTACAAGACACATCAAGAAAATAGAAAGATCACAGTGGAGAGCCAAACAAGTCACATAAGGGAGCTGGAAAGAGTAGACCACCAAAATCCATACTTTAACAGAAGAATCCAAATCACCAAAATAAGAGTCCAAATACGGGACATAGAAGACAAAAATATTGTAGAAAACATCAACAAAACAAAAAGTCGGTACTTTGAAAGAATTAACAAGATTGATGTACCCCTAGCCAGAGAGACCAAGAAAAAGAGAAGAAAAAGCTCAAATAAATACAATCAGAAAAACAAAAGATCAAATCACTCTTGACCCCGAAGAAATACAAAAGATTATCAGAGATTATTATGTACACTTATATGGAAACAAACTTGATAACCTAAATGAAATGGAGGACTTTCTGACATCACACAGCCTCTCCAGGTTGAAACAAGAAGACATTGAGACACTAAATAGACCAGTAACAACCCAGGAAATTGACTCTGTCATACAAAAACTACCTACAAAAAAAAAAACAAAAAACCCTGAACCGGATGGCTTTCCAGCAGAATTCTACAAAATGTATAAGGAGGAGCTGATACCAATCCCATTGGAAGTATTCTAGGAAATTGAGAAAGATAGAATTCTCCCCAAATATTTTACAAAGCTAACATCACACTGATAATCAAACCAGGTAAAGATCCAACAAAAAAGAGAACTATAGGCCAATATCCTTTATGAACATAGATGCAAAAATCCTCAACAACATTTTAGCAAATTGGATCCCAAAACACATCTCAAAAATCAACTATGACCAACTAAGCTTCATCCCCAGAATGCAAGGCTGGTTCAACATTCACAAGACCATAAATGTAATTAAGTACATCAACAGATGTAAAAACAAGAACCAAATGATTATATCATTAGATGCAGAAAAAACT